GGGATAGCCACACCACAGTCCCTTCTCCATTCTCCTCTTGGGATCTTGGGCACGCACGCACACGTGCCCAGTGTGAGTTTAAGCCACTAGATCTGGGACTCGAACCACAGTCGACTACATGGGAGTCCAGCGACATAGCCATTATGCTAACTGCTGGTCCCAGATTTTAGTTTTATTCTGAGTGTATGTGTATGCAATCCCAAGAGAAGAATGGAAGAGAAGGGATTGTGTGGCTATCTCCCCTGAGGGATGATTTCTCATTTTCCTTTTCTCTCCCCCCTCCCCATCCTATAGCTAAAACTGAAGAATAAAAAATAAAAGTAAAACTTAGTTTTACCCAATGTAGTCACATGGACCCATGGATTTCAGCCACTGAATGGATAACTCTTTTGTTGGGAAGCTATTGAATAAGGCGTGGGATCTGTGACTCGAAGTGTTAATCTAGCACTCTGGTTTTCCATTCTAGGTGATACCTCTGGGCCACGTGAAATATGTGGGAGTGTTTTTAAGTTATTATAATGTGCTTAATGGAGGTACTACTGGCTTTTGGGACCCTGAAGTTCAGGGAGGCTAAATACTGTATAATACTGTAGAGGTCTCCTAGTTCAATGAATAATCAATCTCCATCTCCCTTTCTCTAATGCCCAAAGCATCCTATTGAGAACCACTGCCCTAGTGGAAGTTCCTTCATGTAGAAACATGAAGTAAGGCCAGATTTTTTTAAAATGAAGAATTATATATTTATTTAATTTTATTTGTTATTGTGTTTGAATTTGATTAGAGTGAGGCAGCAAGAGAGATAAGCAAAGTGAGAGAGGAAGCCACCAGGTCTGGGACTCAAACCATGTTTGGTCATGTGGGAGTCCAGTGCCTTAACCACCATGCCACCTGCCAGCTCTAGTTAGGCCAGATTTCACCCTAATCTTTCTTCATATATATTCATATAGTTGGTATCAATAGATGTGGCTGTAAGTGTGAAGATCTTAAAAAGATACCACCCAGAATATATGTTTTATGGTATTCATTTTTTTTGGGGGGGAGAGTTTTTGCTATAGGATGCTTGTAGTCGCCAGAAAGACAGAGAGAGACAGAAAGCGAGAAATCACCCCCTCAGTGGGGATGGCCACTCCAGGGTGCTTGTAGTCGCCAGAAAGACAGAGACAGAAAGCGAGAAATCACCCCCTCAGTGGGGATGGCCACTCCACAATCCCTTCTTCTCCATTTCCTCTTGGGATCTTGGGCACACATGCACACTTGCCTGGCATGAGTTTAAGCCACTAGGTCCAGGACTCAAACTGCAGTAGACTACATGGGAGTCCAGTGATGTAGCCATTATGCTATATACTGTTCCCCATATTTAAACCCTTGACTTGAATTATTAGTGTTTAAAAGTAGCTGAAATTTTTCAAACTATTTTGAATGATCTCATTAAAATCAGTAAAACTTGTGTTCTCAAATACTTGATGTTAAGTATTTTTTAAGTTTCTTTTTTTCTTTTATGAGAGAAAGAGTGAGAGGAATCTCAAACAGGGTCCTGTCACACTGTGATTTCCTGTCCCCAACCTCATCCCCCAACCTTTTGACCAGCCAAATCATGGGGTCACCCTATGGGCATGCCTGGAATGTTCACATTGACCAGGAAACTGAATCCAGGGCCTTCCTATGTGGCTCCCATATCATATAGCAATGCTATACTACCTGTGCCACAGCAGCATGCCATTAAATTTTTGTTTGGTATTACTATTATTAGACAGCAGTTAGGGACTGTTTAAATATAATACTCTTGTACATTTACATTTCAGTGTAAATGAATTCATTTAAATGAATACTCTTATTTATTTACATTTCAGTGTAAAACTAAAGATAAGTTCAGTACCTCCCATATAATAGTAGTCCAGTAAATATCCACTAAACCAAACTGAATAAATCAAGCATTCCTTGACTCTTGTTCCTCTTTTTAAGATGAGAAAGTAATATATACTTAAAAAATTATGATTGAACAAATATAATTGTTTTTATAAGTTAACGCTGCACAAATTGAAATAACAGAAAATAATTTCAAGTCCGTCTCTGTAAATTCATATTAACTTTAGAATGGAAGCATCTTCTTTTACTTTTCAGATAATAGTTTGGGACACATTGGGTCAAGTACATTTAAATAGATTTTCTGTTATAGGAATTCTCAGGGCCTTTATGAAGTGTGCCTTGTGAAAATGGGGCATAACATACAATATTTTCTAAATATATTTATTTGCCTTAGAAACTCATTAGAACTTACAGGTAACAGAATTAGCAAACCGAGATACACCTTTCAAATGCTTTCACTGTGATTTCATTTTGTGACCAATTAGGATACTGGAGATCATCCATTTAATATTTAATATGCTGTATTTTGAATTCCAGTAAGAAAAAACAACCAAGAATATTATTTTTGGTATCTGGAATTGAGTTTGCCAGGAATGCAAGCACAGCTTCCTCAGTAAAGACCTTGCTTTTGGAAACATCTTACCCCTTGGCAGCTTTCCAGAGTTCAGACTTGGCAGCATCAAGGACACAACGCAAGGTGTGTTTATTTGATTTAACATTTGGCAAAAGGTGTTTTGATTTGTGGTTTGTTTTCTTTCACTTTGTTTTTCTTGTTTTGGGTTATTTGCTTCTGGCAATCAACCTAGGTTCTGAACTTATTTCTTCCTTAAGGAAGGCAGTATTACAATGAAAAAATGTTTTTATTTCTATTTATTTTATGGTATCAAGGAAGATCCGAGCCAATTAGGATTTTGTCTTTCAACATTATTTTTAATATTTCTTGATTAATTGATGCATTCATGTTTCTCATGTATGGTGGAGAGAGGAACATGGCCTAATATAGAAGAGTATGAGCCCCTGTTTTATCTCTGTCCTTTCTCACTCTTTACTCAGAATTCTTCAATAATTCCCTATTTCACTCAAGATAAAAACTAATACTCTCTGTCTTTTATTTTTTTAAGAGATTTTTGCTATAGGGTGCATGCACTTGTCAGAGAGACAGAGATACTGAAAGCAAGAAATCACCCCCCATGAGGGGATAGCCTTGCCTCAATCCCTTCTCCTCCATTCTTCTCCTGGGATCTTGTGCACACACACAAACTCACCTAACTTGAGTTTCAAGCCATGTGGTCTGAAACTCAAAACTGTGGTTAGCCATGTGGGGGTCTAGCCTCTTAACCATTTTGCCACCTGCTGGCCCCAAAGCTAATGCTCTCAAACTGGCTTATGTCTCTTTATAAGATCTGACCCCTTGTTAGCACTCTAATTTCATCTCTAACTATGCACCCTCACTTACTTGATCTAAATATGCCAGCCATACTGGTTCTCATTTTTTTCTTTGAACATGCCAGACATGTTTTCATCTCTGGGTTTTTGATTTGCTATTCCTTTCTATTGAATTGTTCCTATTTGTTCTCTTATTTCTCTTCATGGCCAGTTTCTTTAATTTACTTTGCATCTGCCTTAAAAAGTCACCTTCTAAATGGGATTTTACCTTACCACTATCTGACATTTTATATTCTTTTTTGCCTTGTAATATTCTTCACTATGTAATAAACCATATATTGTAAATTATTTGTCTTTATTATTATTATTATTCCTCATAAGAATCTAAGGCACATGAGGGCAGGAGTTTTTGTTTGCTTTGTTTTCACTTTATCTCTAGCAACTAGAGTAGGCTCTGGCTCTTGGTGAGCAAATGTATGAATGAAGGTTAGTACAGAAAATATTTTTAAAGTCCTTGCTGTGGGGTACACATTGTGCTAGAGGGTAAGGGTATAGGAGTGAAATACATATCTCATGCTTTCAGCAGTACAGTTTAATAAAGGAAATAAATAATTACAACAGCCATTTTACTACAGTGTTGTCTTATAAGAATTTGAATCAAATATTTTCATTACTTAGAGAAGCATCATTTAAGTCAGACAGTGTCGAGCTCATGAAAGGCTTCCTGTAAAAGGTACCCTTGTGTATCAATTAGAAATAGCGGTTGTGCTATAGGAATAAACACATCCAAACAAATATGAGTGTCTTAACATATGTTCTCACACAGGCTACCTGTGTGAAATGGATTGATAGAAAAGTGCAGAGACTCAAGACATCGAAACCTTTACCTGGATGTATTTCTGTTGAGTACAGTCACTGTAGCAATGAAACGAGAAACTGGTTTCTTATGTCCTGGCTTTTAGAATTTCACTGGTTAAAGCAAATTTCATATTTTCAAATAGGGGACCATGAAGTGCAATTTTTGCCTTCTACTGGATGTAAAGGATAATAGGAAGAGCTTTACGAATTGAACTGATAACTACCATTACCTTTCTACTATTAAAAACAAAATGCTGTAGGTTACATACGCTCGCTGGTGAGAGAGAGAGGCAGAGAGACCGTGAGAAAGAACTCTTGGAGGAGATGGCGAAGCCACAGTCCCTTCTGTCTATTCCTCTTGGGATTTGGACACACACACACATGCACACACACACACACAAGTGCCTGGAATGTTTTTTGAACCACCAGGTCTAGGCCTCAAACTTTGCAGTCAGCCATGTGGTATGCAGCTTTCTTAGCTATCATACTACTGGCTGGCTAGCTCTCTACTATTTTAAAGAAGTGTAAGATATCCAGATAGAGGGACCAGCAGATAGTATAATGGTTATGTTGCTGGACTCCCATATAGTCAATTATGGTTCAAGTTCCGGAACTGGCATCTTAAAACTCACACTGGCAGTGTGTGCATTTGTGTGCCCAAAATCCTGAGGGGAGAATGTCTCTCACTGGCAAGCGCATGCACATTATAGCCAAAAAAAAAAAAAGAAAAAGAAAAAGAAAAGATAGCCAGGCAGAGAAGTAAAGAAAGGAAGTGCATGGCCAAAGGCTGTAAGCTTTTATAAAGTATGATGGCTTCAGGGAACTGTATATAATTCAGAGTACCTGGAAAACAATACTTATACAAGTCCCAGATCCGGCGACTTGCTTTCTCACTCTTCCTTTCTCTCTCTCTGGTGAGCACACGTGGCATATAGAAAATTAAAATAATAAAAATAAAAATAAATAAAATTAAACAAATAATTCTTTTAAAAAAATTACCCAAAAAAGAATTGAGAAAATACAACATATGTCCTCTGTCCTAAAAACCTGTGTTCTGCCTATTCATGCCTCCCTTGTCTCCCAACTCCTGGGAATCACTGATCTTTTTATTTTCTCCATAGTTTTGCCCTTTCTAGAATATCCTAGAGTTGAGATTATAGTGTGTTGCCTTTTCAGACTTGCTTCCTTAACTTACTGAGTTTCCTTCATGTCTTTTCATGGCTTGATAACTCATTTCTTTTTATCTCTAAATTATACTCCGTTATCCAGATATGCTACAGTTAATTTATTCAAGTATGAAGGGTATCTTGGCTGCTTCTAGGTTTTGGTACTTGTGAGTACAGCTGCTATGATCATCCATGTGCAGGTTTTTGTGTGGAAATAACTTTTTAATTCTGGGTAAGTAACTATCAAACAGTGCCATTGCTGGATTGTATAGTAAATGTATGGTTAGTTTTGCAAGAAACTGTGAAACTGTCTTTCCAGGTGGCTGTACCCTTTTCATTCCCACTGGCTGTGAATGACAGTTTTGGATGCTCCATGATCTTGCCAGCATTTGATGCCAGTGTTCTGGATTTTGGTCATTCTGATAGGCATAAAGTGATATAATATTGTAGCTTTTATTCGCATTTCCCTGTGACATAGAATGTGGAGCATCTTTTCATGTGCTCTTTGCCTCCTGTATGTCTTAATAATTACTATATTTATCACAGCTTTCCATTTACTACCTTTGGTATTTTTTCCTGCTTTCTACTCTTTTTTTGAAAATTTTTTATGATTTGACTTTATTTTTTATCTTAACATATCAGTTATATTCTACTTTTAACATTTTTTTGGTGATTGCCTTGGAATTAACATTGTAGATTTGCAAGTAATTCATGTCTACTTTCAAATGATACTAGAACATTTCATGGGTACTTTGAGTCTCTTAAAATAAAATAATCTTGACCATAACCTGGTGGTTGAGGGGCCAGATCCCACATGGCCAACTATGGTTCAAATCTCAGACCAGGCAGTTTGAGGAACACACTGGGTGCATGTGCATACATGCCCCAGTTCCCAGTGGGATGGAGAAATGTGGGAGAGGGTAGTGGTGTGCCCATGCACATTGGGGAGTGCTTTCTCTATCACCTTCTCTCTCTGCTTCTTTTTCTGTCTTTCTATGGCAAGTGTGTGTGACCTGTGGCAATTTCAAAAACAAAAACAAAAACAACTTATTTCTTCTCTCTGTCCCTTGTACCATTGGTGTCTTTATTTAACTTACACATAATCATATATAAGCATACATATAAACATAATATAGACAAATAAGCCTACCTGATTGAATACATTGTTATTATTTTGAACACACATCTGTTAGATCAATTAAAAGTAAGAAAAGTTTTTGTTTTACCTTCACTTATACCTTCTCTTACATTCTTCCTTTTTTAGATCCAAGTTTCTGACCTTCCTTATTTTCCTTTTCTCTAAATAATTTTTTTTAACATTTTTTCCAAGGTAGAACTACTGGCAGCAAATACGCGTGATTTTCATTCTGAGAAAGTATTTCTTCTTCATTTTTGAAGGATAATTTTTTAGAGTACAAAATTCTGGGTTGTCGTTTTGTTTGTTTGTTTTTTCCAACACTTTAAATATTTCACTTCACTCTCTTCTTGCTTATATGGTTTCTAAGGAGAAGTCAGAATTTTTGTCCTTGTTCCTCTGTTGATAAGGTGATTGTCCTCCTCTGACTTCTTTTCAGGATTTTTTTTCTTTATGTTTGATTTTATATAGTTTGAAAATGTTATGCCTAGGTATAGGGTTTTTTTTGGTCATTTTTCCATCATTGGTGTTCTCTGAGTTTCCTAAGCCTGCAGTTTTTTTCTCTGACATTAATATGGAGACATCCTCTGGCATTATTGTTTGAAATATTTCTTCTGTTTCTTTTTCTCCTCCTATTCCTATTATAGATACATTATAACTTTCATAGTTATCCTGCAGACCTTGGATATTCTGGGGTTTTTTTGTTTGTTTTTGTTCTCTTTGTTTTTCAGTTTTGGTAGCTTCTGTTCATCTACTCTCAAGCTCAGAGATTTTTTTCTCAGCCAGTGCCCAGTCTACTAATAAGCTCATCAAGGCATTCTTCCTTTCTGCTACAGTATATTTGATCTCGAGCATTTCTTTTGGGTTCTTTCTTAGGATATCCATCTCTGCTTACATTGTACATCTATTTTTTTCATGTTGTTTACTTAGCCATTAGAGCCTTTTGCATATTAATCATAGCTATTTAAAATTCACAGTCTTGTAATTTCCATATTCTTGCCATATCTGGTTCTAATGCTTGCTTGTACTTACATTGTGTTTTTAAATAGTTTTTTAATTGCCAGAGGGCACATGTGCTCACCAGAGAGAAGCAGAGAGACAAAGAGAGAAGGAGAGAGAGGGAGAAAGCCTCCCCAATGAGGCATGGTTATG